GGCCTCAACCTCCTGCCGCACCGACCGCGCGTTACCCAAAGCCCTTGGTGTCGGCGCCGACAATGAGCTTCTTGGCGACAAGCGTCGCAAACTCTTTCGGAGCAGTCCAACCGCGGGCGGCGACCTGCAGGCGGCAGACCTCGGCCAGCTCCATCACATCAAAGTCCTCAAATGTCACAAACTGAAATCGACTTTTGAGGCCAGCGTTGAAGTCGAAGAGTTTGGTCTGCAAGTCCGTCTCGTAGCCCGCGAGGATGATCGTGATGCGATCCCGGAGGTTCTCGGCCGCGGTGAGGAGGGCGGCCACGATCGGCTTGCCGCGGAGGTCGCCTCCTGGATCAAGATCGTACGCCTCGTCAATGAACAAGACGCCGTCCAAAGCACTCTGCACGAGCTTGTCGAATGCCGGTGCACCGGCGTCCTTGAGCTGCCGCGCGTCCGTCTCGACAAAGACGTCCTTCGAGCGCAGCTTTGAGGCGTGGAGCAGCGTCGCGAAGTGGCGCGCCACCGTGGTCTTGCCCGTGCCCGCGTTGCCCACAAAGCAGTAGTTAAAGGAAATTGGGTTCTTCTGCCTTACGTCGGGCGTCATCTTCGCCAGCGCCGCCGAGGTTTGAAAGAGTCCAATCGCGAATTGCTTGACTTTTGGGATTCCCACGAGGTCCAGGAGGGCGTCCATGGCCGGCGCCGCCGCTGGTGGCTTTCCGGGTAACGTCGCCCAGAGCTGTCGAGTACATAGGTCCGTGTGCGACGATGGCGACTCGGCTGGCGCCGGTGCAAGGTGTTGCTTCTCGGCGGGGAGCAGCCAAGCGTCCGTAGCGTCCGGGTATTTGCTCGCAAACGCGTTCACAAACGCGAGGTCCACGAGCCAGCGACCCAACGCGAGCAGCAGAATCGGGTGGGCGGTGCTGCCCGTGAGCACCAAGTGGCGCAAGTAGCTCTCAATGTGGCTCGTCACGGCGGCTGCGTCATCGCCGGGCAAGTGAAGCAGCTCGAGCGCGTACAGCAAGTCGAGCTCGGGGATCGGCTTCGAGAGCTGCGAGGTGCGAAGCAGGTTGATGCCCGCGAACGGCGAGGCTCGGGAAGACACGCACTGGAGCTTGGACGTGAGCTCATGCTGCAACGCCGGGTGCGCCACGAGCGAGACGCCGTCCCAAGGGCTCACAAAGACGACTCCCCGCAGTCGCTCGTCCACGGCCATGTTGGTGGCACGCAGCACCCTCTCGATCTGTCCGACTTGGTCGCTGCGAATTGCCTTTTGTAGAGGTGACTCGGCGTCTGGGCGCAACTTCGCGGCGTCGGCCTGTCCCTCCCGCGACGCTCCGCGCAGCGTCGAATTGCAGTCCTAGGTACAGTAGTATTTTAGCGATATGCAATGATGACGTCACCGTGATAACTTTGTCGGGTCGTACTAGTACGCTGCCTATGCAGTTGACTTTGGCGCCTGCGCCCAAGAGCAGCTGCACGGCGTCAGCGTGGCCCTCCTTTCTCGCAAGGTACAGTGCCGTATCGCCGTTCTAGGTCGTAGCTTAGCGATGTGCGATGATGACGTCACCGTGATTCGTACACTGTCTTTCGAGTTGACTTTGGCACCGGCGCTGAGGAGGCGCCGCACGACTATGGCATGACCCTGATGCGCCGCGACAATGAGCGGTGTGACGCCAGTCTAGTTGTGATAAGTGTGGTAGATTGTTCCTAGTCCTTGTATAGTTGCGTGTACTCACATGGGAGGTGTGGTCGACGTTTGCGTGGGCATCGAGTAGGAGGCCCACGACTTTGTCGTGGCCGTTGACAGCGGCGGCGAAAAGCGGCGTCCACCCGCCCTAAAGCGTATGGTCGTCAGCCGTCGTCGCTACCGCGGCGATTACCGAGTCGCACCAGTCGACATTGACGCCCTGGCCGAGTAGCTGTCGCACTTGGCCCACATCGCCGACCAACGCTGCATTGTACAGGCAGACCCCGAGGTCCTCCTATGCACCATTGCAGACGCGATCACGACCGCCACAACGTACCAGTCGCGCGCGATTGCTGCTGCCATGTTGTGCGGCAGCCAAATTGGCGAAGACTGGGTCACTCTGCCGAGGGCTCAGCGTTCGAGAAGTGACATGAGTCAATGCGCTTCCAGAACCACACTAAATCGATACTAGCTTGACGGGAGACGAGGCGCACCGCCGTGACAACCTCGAGATGGACCTCGGACGGGCGCTCGGCGAGCCAAAGAAAAAGAGTGTACAAGTCTCTACGTTGTGCGCCGGCGCTGGGCTTTAGGCGACGTCGTTCGTGCCGGTGCAGCGAACCGCACGCCGATGCTCGTGTCGGCGTGCACCGCCACGGTGGGAGCGCAGACGTGAACGCGTTTCCCGCTGGATCTCGAGCGAGATGCTCACAACCTGCCGATTGACATTCGACGCCGTCGACCTTGTTCAAGAATGAATGTCTCGACTTGAGTGAGTCCGAGCTCTTGATACCGACAGAACGCATGAGAGCAAATAATTGCGAACCAACGGTCTCCGCAGTCTAATTAAACAAGGCCGACGTAGTTGGGTGTAACGTGAGCCTCGAGCTTGTGCTACCATACGTCTCGACCCTGTCCGCATCAAATGAGATACACGAGCTGCGGAAACGTGCCAATATTTGCATGCAGGCGACGTCTTGGTCCTGCTGGAGACGTGCCACATTCGGCCTTCGTGAAAGATCTCTTCTGGCGCCGGAATCATCCGGATAAGTAACGGCATAATCGCCACCATTTTTAGTTTTGAGTTTTGTGTTTGAGTTTTTGGTGCCAACGAAGGGCCCAACGGCACGATATGAATGGACCAAAGCACTGTCCCTAGGCGTCACGTGGGCATTCGCTGCATAATAGACCCGAGTGGGACCTCGATGTCTGTGCACTGTCTAAAATCAACATCCTTTGTCATATAGTAATGCAAGATTGCCACGTTGAAGTTGTCGCTGGCGTTTTTGAGTCTTGAGTTTGAGTCCATTCGAAATTTTGCGATGCAATCGTGAAATCCCAATTCGCCTCGTCCAGCTCAAGCACCGAAGAAGCAGAATATGACTAATACCTCGTCCCTGGCCATGAGCCCCGACGTCCTCATCCGCCTCGTCCAGTGCATGGCCTCACCCGCCGACGTCGCTGCCTTCCTACAGGTCCTCCCGCTTCATGCGCTTCCGACGCCGCTCGCAGCGCTCCGCGAGCTCCTGGCTGCGCAAGGCGAGCAGCCTTCGCTCTGGCCTCAGCCGTGCCTCGACGACGGGATGGACACGGTCACGATGGATCTCGTGCTGGCCGCGATGCCATCCTTCCCGACGATCCGGGTCAGCGACCTTGCCGCATTCCAGCAGCACCTTGCGACTCGCTCTGGACCGACCATGGACCTTCTCGGGTTTGCGGCGCAGTGGGGACCCAAGGTCGTGTCCGTCACGCTGTCGAGCGAAGAGCTTGGTGGCGGAACGGACATGCTCGGCAGCGTGCTCCGGTTGTGCACGGGTCTCGACCACGTTGAAGTGCACCCGCTCGACAAGCCAGAGCGGATCATTCGCGCGATCACAACGCCAGCGCACCACGTCCGCCGACTCGACTTGTTTGCGGACGACGGCGACTGCTTTGACGTTGACGACGGCGTCGCGCTACTTGGACCGTGGCTGCGGTCGGGGCATGCGATCCATTTGTCGCTGTGGCGATTTGAGTCGGAAGACGATGACGCGCTGGCGGCCGCGCTCGCGGCGACACCGACGCTGCAAAGCCTCGATTTTATCCTCGCCGACGGTATCATTAGCAGCCTCGCCTCGGGACCTCGACTGTCACGCCCGTGGACGCGTCTCCGCGTTCGAACGTCGTCGATCGACGGACTGCACAAGCTCTTGCACCGTCTCGACCTCTCTGTGATGACGCACCTCGACCTTGGAGTGTCTGAGTTTGGCGACAGCAGCTGCCTCGCAGCGGTGCTGCCGCGAATGCCCCGTCTCGAAGAGCTCTCGCTCGTGTGCATCAGCCTCGCGGACGCGTCTGCCGTCAAGCAGGCTACGAGTCCGTCGTCTCTGCGGGTCGTGACACTCAAAATCTTTGAGGCGTCGTCTCGCACACGCCTTGCGCTGCTCGATTGGATCAGCACGTCGGTCTGTCTCGAGTCGGTCACGTGGGACTTTTTGTCCTCGTCGTTTTGCGGCCGTGAGATGCGCCATGTCGGACGCGCGTTCCAGCGCTGGATCGACGCTGGCGTCTGCTCTGTGCGTTTTACACAAGCCGACGGCATCGACCTCTGCATGCGCGAGCTCGCGACGGCGCTCACTGTCACGACGCCTCGGCGGCCGCTGCGGGTCGAGCTTGGCGACCAACGACTTCAGGACGTCAAGGCGTTGGATGGTCTCTTCAAGGCTGTCGCGATGCACCCTGACGTGGCTGTGTCGATGCCGTTTGGTGACGGCCAGGGTCCGAAAGACCATGGCGCCGGTTTGCAGGAGCTTGCCTCGCAGCATGGTCTCGAGCTCGAGCTCAAGGACAACACGTTGGTCGTGTCGAGTCGCATCGCGTAGCAGTCCGCACGATGAGCCAGCGACGATTACTATCTTTAATCATGATACATGCCGTTCCATTTGCCTAAGTCTATGAGAGCCAATTCAGCTAGGCCGCGCTACCGTGGTTCAAGGTGTAGGTATTCTCGTCCATTGGTCGCTCTGTCGGGGATGGTTGGCTACTGCCTACGTCGGAGCCATGCAGCTACATGTAGCTTTGCAAGAATCAGAGCTAGAGTTGTAGCTGCAGCGCTGGACCTCGCGACAGGATTCAATCCTGTCATGTTGACCAAATTTTGCTCAACATGATCAAGAATTTCATTTTGAAAACATCAGGTTTTTGATACACATTCCTTTGCGTAGAAATCATGTTTTAAACATTTGGTCCACAGAATTCGGTGAGCAGTGGCATGCAGAACGTCGCCGCGCACGTGCTCTGCTCGAGCCGCTTGCTTCCGCGCATCTGTAGCTACCAGAGAGACGCGCTGTCTGCTGATGGACTACTGCGCTGCCGCAGCGTCCGGCTTGCAGCCAGCTACGGCGACGAACAGCAAGCCGACGACGACCTCGAGGCAGCGGACGCGGCGACCTTCCAGCGCTGGCTCGCGCGCCATGGCACCGCCACACTTCCATTGCTTTGCGTGCCACATCTCTTTGCGTACGCGCTTCGTTGCGGCGACATCCATGCTCTCCAGTGGCTCGTCAACCGCGAGGTTGTGTTCTGGAACAAGGCAACGCTTGTTCTCCATGCAGTTGGGTGTCACGCGTGCCCTTGTGCTACCGAGCAGCTCGGGCCCGCAATGGCCATCCGCGCCTCCGACTGCGTGCGCCGCGCTGCGGCAAAGGGGCATGTAGAGCTCTTGCGCTTCCTCTTTGCCTGTGGCTTTGACATGGTCGACGTCTGGCGCGCCGTCTGCTTTGGTGGCCATCTCGACGTCGCTCGCTTTGTCGTCGAGCATCGCCTTGGCGTTTGGACCAGCGCGTTCGTCAACGTTGCTGCTGAGAACGGTCATTTCGAGCTCGTGCGATACTTCAACACGCTGCGTGTCGACGGCGTGAACTCGCACACACTTGCGCTGGCCGTCCGGCACGGCGACCTACAGACAGTACAAGCGCTCCTCACACATTCTCATCTTGACGAGCTTTCGCTCAAGACTGCTCTGCGTGACGCCATTCAGCACCGCCGCCTAGAGCTTGTCCAGTGGCTCTGTCGGCAACCCGACGCACGTCCCTATTTGGCTGGCGCGTTGGAGGTCGCCACGTACTGCTGTGCGCAAGCCGCTGTCCAGTGCCTCCGCGATGAACTCTCCAAGGTCCTGCGCCAGCAACGCATCTCGTCCGTTCTCTTGTCCAAGGAGCTTCTTGGTCTCGTCACGTCGTACCAACCCGGCCATGACATGCACACAATCGGTCTTCGCCAGCTATGTCATCGCCATGCGATCTACGAGACGACGCCGCATCAAGTGCCCGAGATGGCTTCGTACGCAGCGTACCATACGCTGTTTACTGCGTGGTGGGCTCGCCACGACAAGCGTGACTTGCACCTTTTGTGCCTCCCGCACCTGTTTGCCTACGCCGTCACCTACGGCAACATGGAGGTCATCCGCTGGCTGAGCCCGCGCCTCGCACCAAGTCAGCGGCTCGAGCTCCTCTGCGAGACAGCGCATCGGTGCGTTCTCTCGACGCATCAGCTCGTTGGGCACTCGGTGGTCTATGCCGATTGCGTCGCGTACGCCGCCGAGTCGGGTCACGTCGAGCTCCTCAAGTTCTTGGACGCCCTCGGCTTCACGATGGAGAAGGTGTGGCATCGGTGCAGCTACTTTGGCCACGTGAATGTTGCCCGGTACGCACACGCACACGAGCTCGACGGCCACCTTCCCCGGTACGTCTACGACGCCACACTCGGAGGGCATGTCGCAGTCGTGCAGTTCTACCATGAACATGGTTACCCCGGATTCACCGAAAAGACGATCTGGGCCGCCGTGCACAGTGGCCGCGTCGATATGGTCACCTTTGTGTTGACGCACCGCGACGAAGCCAGTGTCCGCGAGGCCCTCCTGACTGCGGTCGAGACCGATCAAGTGGACATTCTCAAGTGGCTCTGCAATCGGCCAGGTGCGGACAGAATGCTCGACACGGCACTGCAGCAGGCCTGCCTCATGCGGAGCCATGCGTGCATCGCGTACCTTGTCGACGAGCTGCGCGTCACGGCGTCTCGTACAGCGACGCGGCTCTACAAACGCTATTTACAACGCCCGACATGAGCCCGCACCGATTCTTCCGCCTTGGACCAAGGGGGACGTGCGTCAACAACGATGGCTCGTCCGGCACAGACCGTGTTATCAAGTCGACTGCGAAGAAACGCCCAAGTAATATCGGGTAGACATGTACATTCTGTCTATTAGTCTTTTCTTGAATGTACAATCGCGTATATCTCAAAACCGCGCAATTTCTAATTTACCATATCTCCCATTGGGCCATTTTCAAGAAGAGAAAGAGGCGCGATGGGTCGAGCAGTTATAGAAGAGTAGAGGAACAAAAAGTCCAAGCAGCAAAACAAGCAGCAGAGCGGTCAAGCTCAAGCCATTTCGCAATTGGCAGGCCGTAGCTCAGTAGCTAAATCCCCCTTTCTTTATACCATGCTCTCGTCCGGCAACTCGCTCTGCATCTACCCGGAGCAGATTGAGCTGCCCTACAACGACATCTCAAGCGTCGCGTACGGGTCTGTCGTCAGTGTCCTGCGCGGTCGGGCGGTGGTTGAGCTTGCTCAAGACGATGCG